TGTCTCAGCTGCTGGACTGGACATCGCAACGGTTAGCGGTCTTCTTCGAGGCTGCCATATAGCTACCTTCCGGGTGAAGCCAAGCAAGCCAACCGCCAGTACGCGCAGTCGCAGTCCCTTCCGTCACAGGTGAAAAAAGATACAGAGTTCTACCTTATGCCTTCTAAAAAGATTACCGATCCAGATTTCTAGATTATCAGTCTCCGCCTTTTGTACAGAGCAACAGTATTTTTTCTTATGAGAGATGTACAGATGCAAATATATCTATTGTTTTTCCTTCATGTGAATTTTAAAAATTCAATTCAAATGACTCCTGGTTATTTTGGCTTGTCTCCGCGGCGAAGCTAGGCTATACTTCAGAATCAGGGCCTTTAGTTGAGATTCTAGCCAAGCGTCGATCCAACAGGGCTGTTATGCAAATGGCGACGGGAAACTGTGTCCTGCCAGGCGACCCTTGTCATTCGCGCGCGAGGCTTAGCCGGCCGAGTAATTTTTGACGCGATTTGGTCCTGGAATACGACTGGTTGGCTTCCACAGAAGAACTAAAATATCCATAGTGGTCCACCTGCGTATACTGTCTTATCTGAAACACGCTTTTGTGCTCCAAAAGCAATGTTGACGCGGTCACAAAGGCTATATTGCAGTTGATAGCCAGGCCCCGTGGCTGGTGGGCTATTTTGTGGGGTCCCACAACCACCTCTGACCGATTTGGCTTCCGTTTTACGTCAGAGGTTAGGATTAAGGTATCGGTTAATAATTTCAGATTTTCGGGTTAGGGTTATATCTCTAGGCTTAGGTTTTCGGATTACGGTTAGGGTTTGAGCGTACGATTAGGTTTCAGTATTACGGTTAGGTTTTTCAGATACGGCTACGTCTAAGGGTTACGTTTACGATTTCGGTTCGGGTTAGAGTTGCCGTTAAGGTTAGCGTTTAAGGTAGAGGTTAGGGTTAAGGTCGCCGTCCGCTTCGGTCAGTTACAGAATTCATTCCTCAAAGCTGACTATCGTTAATCAGGAAAGCCGCCTAGGGGATGTAAATGGGTGATTTTTTTCATAAAATCTCTCGAAGGGCGCGCTTGTTAGTCGAATGAAGGACTGTCATTGAGCTGTCTTCAATTTACCGGCATGTTCGGACACGGGGGTGTGGACCCCTCGGTACTACGGGGGGTCTTGCACTAAGTTCCATGAGGTAACATTCTGTGTCCCGACTTTTGCTAACCCTCATAATCCTAACATCAACTTTAATACTAACTGTAACCCTAACACCCCGTAATTGGGGACAACACCACCTGTAATACGTATTCCCGTGTTCGACCTCCAGGCTAAGTCGAAATCACAGGCAATGTGCAATCATAGCATAAAATTTGCACATAAGAAACCAAAAGGGTGGGGTAAACGACGTCATCCTTCACTGTGGATAAAATGAAGGGTTTTCACCACAATGAGGTCATGCGCCTATAAGACTTTACCGGTCTCTGAGGACGTAAAATTCCCCTTTCTCATGTAGATTAGAGTAAACAAGTGTGGCCAGGTGAGGCTGCTGGGCTAGGCTGCGGGAGCAATCGTAATTTCACGGGGGCTCAAAGGTAAATTTATCGAATTTAAAATGAAAACAGGCACAGCGAAGCGGTTGAAGGAAGACGTGCAGGATGAGGAAATAGAAGCATCTTAATGCAAGAGTAAACATGCTATCCCGAACGAATTCTTGGAGGTAGCAAACGTACGACAAGTTATGCTGTACTGGTAATTAATTCGCTCACACCGTCAGGGTAGTAATTTAATTTGGTTGATACGTTTAAAGCGTGTCTTCTTATTTCCCTCCGTCAATTGCGACCCAACTACAGTGTTCTTGGGTAGGACAATTGTGTGTAGCCTGGACTGTGCAAGGCGAAGGAGAGGTTCCTGTCTTACGGGATCGGTGGGAAGGGGGGGTTTTAGGCTGGGGTAAACGGGGAACCCATCAAGGAGTTAGAAAAAAAAGTAAAAAAGAGGTTTAGAAAGAAAATGATAAAGTTTGTTTGAGGTGAAAATGTGCCGAAAATTCAAAACCGAAGCCGTAACCAATGGGAACAATATACCCAAGGCCATTCGGCTGAAGGTGCCCCAGACAATACTGCCACTGGTGATGAATCCTGGTCAAATGCCAACGACAAGTAGGGCAGTGGAAAATGAACCCGAAGAACGGTAAGTATGAATGCAAAATACGGAGGACGGAAGCCGTATTTATTAATTTGTTCAATAATTACCAAACGTTTCCCACTTATAGAAGGGTGACAGCAAAGAAGAAACGTAAGGCCGCTCCGCAAGCTAATAATGCCATCGGAGATTGAGCAGATCCTGGATATTATCCAGTCCCCATATTTAGTGCAATAGTTACAAGCTAAACGAGTCATGGCGACAGAAACCAGATGTCGCTGTCGTAAACCGATGCCGTTGCGAATATTGCGTCAACACACAGACGGGTTTGCCTTCAGGTACACGAAAATATTAATATAATGCATTGCCTAGGTGTAACAAATGTGGTACCAAAAGGGCACGGAGAACTGGTTCGGTGTGTAAGGATAGTCGCCTGACTTTATCGAAGGTCCCATGCGGCTGAGGCCTATCCAGTCTCAGAAGAGCACTCGGAAACCGAGATATGTAGCAGCTGACCGGAAAGGTAAGCAGTGAGATGTTAATGATATTGTACACATAGTGCAATAATAGCAGCCAGTGGAATAACAGCCGGGGAGAACAACTGAACGGCCAGGCAATGGACATTTTGGCCCAAAGCGAGGTCGAATACATTACACCCGCGCGGCCGACACGCCTGAAATATGTAACTTAATAAAAGCACGCCTACTGATAGGAAGCAAGTACGTCAACAATGTTGACTCATAATCCCAGGCTACTCAGAATTGTCTCGCCTGTTCTTGTATTAAAAATCTGTAATTATGGATCCATATGCCTGAATTTGTTAAAGAGGTGTTGACAGACTTGATTTAATGCAATCTAGGACCTGACGGAAGCTTGAGGCAGGCTTCGGGATCTGAATGCGGGCTTTTGCACGCAAGGGTGGCCTTGCTCAATAGTGTCCAGGCTCGAGCGCTGGCTTGTGTATATTTCGTCGACGTCGACTAGTTTTGCATAATAACTCCCGTCTGAAAGTTGTGGTACTAACCCCTTTGAACATAAAACGTCGTTCTAGCCTATTGTCCAGTGTTCTCGAAAGTGGCAAGGGTATGATTTGTGACAGGGGTTACTTAATTAGGGGAGCATTTGTGTTGAGATAAAGAGCTGAACATCTAAGAACTTTGTGGTATCACAAATCTGATCCTCCATATTGTCACCAATTAAAATTTGACCCCATTGTTAACATACAATGATAAAAGTAAGTGAACCTAATAACCCTTGCAGGCACTGTCAAAAAGGTATTGCTTTGTCGTTTTTTTACCCCGATGACTACCGTTAAGCATCTTGACCACTCTAACGCAGCAGCCACTGCGGGCTCTTTTTATTCCTTTCGCTGGCACGCACAAATAAATATCGCCAGTTATTTTCTTTTAGCACAACTGCTCCCTAGAGCAAGTAACCCCGGCCATAAACCATAGTCCTGTCCTCGAAAGTTTATCAACCATTACTCCTCAATAAGTCGTCGAAACAAACGTCAGTGAGAGGGAATGAAAAATGCAATCAGAAAGTGCCCTATCCAATAATCAAAACTGCGGGAAAAGTCGATTTCTGGCCATCTCATTGGCCCGTAGAAAAAAGTATATTTTTTCAGGCTAGAAGGGTTACATGCAAACCTAAGTAACCAAGCAGTGTTCTTAGTTGGAGTAGAAAGTGTCGTGATTTTTCACCATCTATATCTGTCCTCTTGGAGTCGGATCGGTTTAAAAGTCAAACTGTTTCAAGCTGAAAGGTGGAGAAATAAGTGAGTTAGAAGGCTGTAAAGCGAAAGGCAAAAACTTTAAACCTACCATGCATCCATTGACTCCTTTATTCTTCGGTAAGCTGAAACAAGAGGAAAAGGGAATTAATAAAAGCCCGCCTCGAGTATATTCCAACAGGCTGGCAAACATCTAAATACACAGCCGATCACCCAGAGAGTTAATCAGCACAGTAGCCCTTTAGCAGGCCAGGTTACGCCCACTTCTACACGTACGCGACCAGTTCGGTGCTGTTACCCTAGAGTTGGATAAAAGTGGTCAGCTGGTAGGCCATAGTGGACTAAAGTGAGAACTTGAGCCCATCGGTGAGCAGTCCTGCCGGGCGTCAACTGCCTAGACGGAGGTTTCGATATCATAAACGCAAAGTCGACGAACTTTATGATTTCGGCAGCATTACACTGAACTCTGGTGAACTGCACTATGATTGTTTGATAATGTTCGACGATACCTGGAGATGTATGATGAAGAAAAACGCGGCATTAACTTCCGCAAGGTCACCCAGTCCCACCATGTTCCAATGACAACTGAATCAAAAGTTGGCCTGGTCGTCAAGTTAATTCCCGCCTGACGGATGCAGTGAAACAGTTGTCAGATATCAAGCGCTTAAACAAAATGTCCTTAGAATTTATTATTGAAAAGCAAACGAGAAAGGGACTATCACAACCCGACTCTGGGTCTCAGGTAACGACTGATCATACTACATGACCGTGATTGAAAGCGCGAACTCCAAGGTGTCGGGCTAGTTTAACCGCGGACTTGAGGGAGGGGAAGTCGAATGGGATCGGCTTCACTCCTCTCTCTCTCTCTCTCTCTCTCTCTCTCTCTCTCTCTCTCTCTGCGTCACCTCTTTCATCCTATGCCGGAGACTGAGACTGTGTCAAGCGAAGTGGAGATACGGTTCAATGGCTAACCAGGCCGTTGCCTTCAGCGGTAGCTGAACTTTCAAACTCGCGGAGGACCAGGGCTTCCCCAGGGAGTGAGTGTTGCCTTGCTTCTGAATGGGATTATGGTGAGATAGGCAGGTGCGGAGTGATTCTAATTCTCCTCTTCCTATCCCCTAATATTTGAATGATAAGGGCGAACCAGCACAACCAAAGATGAGGTCTGGCTAAGTGGTTGGCCAGACATTTCGTGCCGGCCTCTCGCGTTCTGGATGTGCGCCTGACCCCTGCTGTCTGCTATGGTGTTCTGGTGTGGCTTCGTACGTCGCTTTCGACACGGATCCTCCCAATATTCGTTGTATGTACTCTGTATTAAAGCAGATGCGAAAGTGTGCAACGAGGCCAGTTCTGACCTCAACGATTTGAATTTAAGGTCCGCAGCGATAGCATTAGTGTGAGGTAGAATTGCGGTGGGCGCAGAGACTCTGGCCGAGCCACGCCGGACTTGGAAGATATGGTCACAATTTGAAGAAGATAAAGTTGCTGATCATTAATAATGACCATTTGCTTTGGTTTTTGTTGTGATAGTTGTGGCAACAGGGTCCCTTTGGTAAACACTTATCCGACATCCTAATGCCCTGGCCGCTCTATCTTAGGTGGACTTATCAGAGCAGTACGGAGACGCTTGGTATGCCAGCCGAGTCATCTGGGCCATTTGGAATTAGTTCTTCTCCATCCGCCCACAGCCTTTTCGGAAGAGGAAAATGCGTGAGATCCCCTGTTCGACTTAAATTTCAACTTTAAAATTAAAGAAGATGTCAAGCTGCTTCCCCGCTGGCTATTATTAGTTGTCAAAGACTGCAATAGGCTTGGGACCAAACTATGATTTCATTGTGGATTGCGCTTCCAGGCAATAGCATGCATACGCAACTACAATTCGATGTCCTCTGACACTAACTCTCGGTTTTACTCACCGCATGATGACGCTCGTTCGAGTAAGAGGTTACTTTTAGTGTATTGACCTTCATTGCAAAGTTTGGTGTATAAATATTCAGAGGTTCAGGCTTTGCCGCTTGGGATCTGTCGTCACGCTGGAGGATCAAATCGCAAGGAAACAAGGCAAGGAAACGTCCGGTGCGATCCTTATTATGACCTTCACGTGTCGGAAGTGGAACAGTTTCTAGACAATTCGGCGTTCACCTTCGATAGGGGCGCTCGTTCCGGTAGTTTTTCGTCAGCATTGTAGGCAGGGCAACGGTATAGAGAAGGACCACACTTAACTGTCAGTAGACTGTTGATCGTGCCATATGGGGCTTTATCTTGGCACGCATTTGCAGGCTGTTGCGGAAATTACACTGTCAACAACGTTTACTCCCCAAGACATCGCACCTTAACTCAAAATCCGTTATTTTGGGAAATGTTCTTTTTGCTTATTGTTTAACTACTACTCTCATTTCCCTTGTCGCACAATAGCCTACGACAAGACTTTCTTTCATTTTGCCAGCTTACTGTCTAACGTGCTGCCCCACCCATAAAACTCCCTTCACCATAAATCACGTACGGCACGATCCACAGTCTACTAACAGTTAAGTGCGGTCCTTCTCTATACCGCTGCCATAGGCAGTATAAAATTTCAAAGGTTCAGGGCCGATAGGCAACCATGCTTCGCTCCGCTCGACACAACAACGGCGACTCAGTTGTGACGAACACTAGTGTCTACGTTAAACCTTTTCATTCCCTCAGAAATTAATGCATGAGCCTGGAGCAAATCATTTTAGATAAACCTTTTGGGGCTTGCTCAAGGGTTCGCTTTGAATACCTTAGCCGAAATACATTAATTTCGACAAAATAACCGCGTTTTATTTCAGAGTTGCAATCAGACAACTGGCAGCCTGAGATGCTGGCTCGATTTACCACAAAGCCAGAACAGGTATTAGCTAAGATCTAATTAGTAAAATATATGCATGCCGGTGTCATTTTATCCAGTGACTTTCGGAAGAGGGAGTGGTATTGAAGATTGCCAAAGATTCCCCAGTGGTTTCCAACACTTAAATAATTGTGAGCGCTATAAACTTGGATGGAAAAACGGGACATGACATACCTTTATCCTTTATCGCCTTGCTAATGTAACCTATCAGGTCCGCTCTCTGTAAAATCTCTTGCATTGTGAATCCGTACTTGGTGAGTCCAACTTTGGCTATCATCTCAGCTGGACAGTGAGCTTTGACATCAGGATTAGAGGGGTAATTCAACGTGCTATCCTCCAGGATGATTCCTTTGGCGCCCAGACGATACCACTCTAGTGGGCAAATGGACGAGGGTCGCACCACGCGTCGTCCACAATCGGTCGGACCACATATTTCAAGTTCGCTGCATGGGGAAACAGAATGTCAGATGATGCGGGTAGATTTATATAACACAGTTTCGGGCTTATTCTCCTTTCAGCCAACAACTAGCACCAGAAACACAAATAGGCGCTCGTGCACGGCCTGCATGATCCAGAGACGTGGTCCGGTAGACGGAGCATAAGCACTTCATCGAAGCGACGTTCATCAGTGTCTCACCCCCTTTCATTCTCTGTCGTTGATCAGGTATTTATGCAATTAGAAATGGGCGCACACCGATCGACTGGCTTCTTGAAACAATGAGGCTCCGTATGTGTGGCCAGTATCACGAACAGGAAAGTAACTACCAGGCTGAAGCCAGGCAAGTTATAAGAGCCGAGAGGAGGGACGACAGATAATATGGGTAGATTGATACAGTACTGTTTCGGCCACATTTTGCCGCCATTCAGCCAATCATATTCCCGATTACCAGTTGGGAGCTGATTGAATAAAAACCCGATCTGCAGCGACAGAGAATGATAGGTTACGAAACATTAATGACCCATCTGCTGGACCCCGTCTCTGGATCATGCACACCATGCACGAGCGGTTGTTCGTGTTTCTGGTGCCACTTGTTGGTTAGGGTTATGATTGACTAAATGTGACGACAGCTGGCAAGATGGCAAGTTGTGGCTAAGTCTATCGCTACAAATGGGGTCAGTGAACAGGCGGCTACAGGGCACGGTTGCATTTGCGCATCCCGTTTTATGGGTGAACCTGTGCCGAATTCCAAGGTGTTAGGGCCAAGGTCAGGGCCAGAAAGTTTCTGGTTAGGGTTAGGATGGTTAATTTTGGGGTTAGCGTCAGGGTTGTAGTTAGGGTAGAATTTAAAACACAGGACTAGACACCTCTACCGGAATGTAGCGCAAGGCCATCTACAGTGCGCGATACTTATTCCAGTGTTCAACCCAGGTGGGTTCCGATAGCAACGTTGTACAGAAAAAACGACCCTGTTATAGAGGAGAAACGGAATAAAACTTTCACATCGCCGTTAATGATGTTTCAGCCGTCGTGGGCAGCGGGGATCAACGCTGTCCTGTAAGGGGCGAGGAGCAGTGTGGGCTAGCAATTGACTTTAGGTATAGTCAGGGAGGTCTGCGAAGTACCTAACCCACTTTTTACTTCCTCAACCACACCGATTTAATGACAAGAGGAGATGTAAACGACCGGAGATGTCTATGGGCTTAGTGGGTGTTTTTGTAAACCTAAAATATATACACATGTTGATTTCCATCGAACACAACTTTATTCACTCCAGGCTTCACAGGCCCTTATCTGCTGTTGTCTCTGACGAAGTGTTCGAAGGAGGGACCGAAACGTCCTGCAGACAAGTCTTGTTCTAGCGATCGCATCCACTTGACTTCACTTGCCTTTTGGAACACGCCTTAGCCCTTATATTTAACAATAGAACTGGGTATCCGGTGAAATCCCGGAATAAACTAACAGAGGAGAATGACAATAACATGTTACAAGCAGGCAAAATTGGTTAGAAGTGCCTGAAAGGGACCGTTTTGACCAGCGGTCCAGATGTGATCACCGGCAATGCAAAAACGGCTTGGTTCCGACGAAATATCACATCCATTCCCCACTAAAGTAGAACATATGGGATCAACTCTGAACCTACAGTAGATGTGCTAACTCATAAAATATCAACCAAAATGTCGAAATGCGTTCTCGTTTCGAAAAGGTAAATTAAGTAGTGTTGTAAAGCTAATCATGATGCAGCATAAATCTATAATGATCCAGTTACCTCAGGGTGTCGCCTTTCGAAAAAACTTATTTGCGGCTGCATGCAAGATCTATACTCTGCAAAAAATGACTACTTATGTAGCATGCAATTTTCTCAATGATTTTAGATGCCCTTGAAAATTCAATTATATTTTATGGAAAACATGCATAAAAATATTCATTCTTTTACTTATTCGGTAGAAAATCACGTCTTCTTCCAAGTTCATATTCAAAAGAAGAGTATAATTCGGTTTTAAAAAGTTTCTAATTCTGAGATTTTTTAATACCGTTAAATGGCCGTTCATGAAACGTCATGTCTCTGCATTTACCAATGTGGATTGTAAAGTTAACAATATGGTTCAAATTCACTGCTACATTTTATGAACCTCATATGGTCTTCTCTTAACACCGTAGAGAAATGCATGGTTTTCCGTACACGGAAAATATACAGCTTGTAGTTTTGAAACCCTGAATGCAAGTGTAACAGCAGGTCGGGTTCAAAATTATTCGGGAATTAGAAAAGTTTTTTTTAAAACCGAATTCTACTCTTCTTTTGAGTATGAAATTGGAAGAAGACGTGATTTTCTACCGAATAAGTAAAAGAATGAATATTTTTATGCATGTTTTCCATAAAATATAATTGAATTTTCAAGGGCATCTAAAATCATTGAGAAAATTGCATGCTACATAAGTAGTCATTTTTTGCAGAGTATAGATCTTGCATGCAGCCGCAAATAAGTTTTTTCGAAAGGCGACACCCTGAGGTAACTGGATCATTATAGATTTATGCTGCATCATGATTAGCTTTACAACACTACTTAATTTACCTTTTCGAAACGAGAACGCATTTCGAAATTTTGGTTGACATTTCATGAGTTAGCACATCTACTGTAGGTTATTAAAAACCCAATGTCTCTCGACCCGTACGTGGGTTGCGTCTGGCTAACAACGACCAAGTGGCCAGAAGGATCAATTCTTCTCATTCATGCACTCTTCGAGCATGCGACAATGCTAAAGTGTCGTATGATGCACGTGTTAACATGGACGGAATGGTACGATTCTTTACATGGTGTCTTCATACTACCGTCACTTGACTTGCCGTGAGACTGTCTTGATTACATTATTTCCATCACAAGTACACCGATGATTAGTGAAGTGCAATACCACGATAGACAGTAAACGGCGTAACTCATGAGACGTGATAACAGGAAACTGGCTGCGAATTCTGGGACACTTAACACGTTGTGCAATTTGCGTATTCCTCTAGCCCGTTCCGGAAAGGTCCCCTTTTCTATGTGTAAACAGACTTTATGTACTTTTAGAAATCGAGTTTAGCCAACTGACATGACATGATTTTGTTACAAGAAGTGTTACTTCTAAAAACGTAATATTTCTTTTAGCATTAATTTTATGTTTGAATTTCAACTAACGTCGTTCATCATCAGCTGGGAGTTTTGGCAAATGTGTTTGGGTGGGCTTCTAAGTGATTAGAGGCGTTTCGAAAAGTTAGACACATTCATGAGTTACTTGATAATGAAAATTTATTGGATATGAGGAAGACTTTTTAGTCACGGGCTTCGTAGTTGCACACGCGCCAAACTAACTAATGACACAAGGGGAACGTTACTCAGTCGATACCAATTTGGGTGGCTGACAATGCCCTAAAAATGACGACTTAATACTGCTGGTTCGATTAATTTATTATACTACCATCAAGGGAACTAGCTAAAGGCCCAGACATGCATTTCGTTGATTTTATGCGGAAGTATGATATACTTGGTGAATGTGAAATTAACTCGTGATCTATCGGTAGAATCTGAGGGACAGGCGTTTGATGTGTTTCTACAGAAGAGAGCCATTTGGGCGGGCAGTGAAGGACTTGTTGATGAGCTAAAGATATTTTGCTATCCTGTTGACAACTTGCAAAGACAACTCGGTCATGAAGAAGGAGACACGATCGCTGGGACAAGAGCTTTATTAGCCTGACGTTTCGGATTCCTACTCGAATTCATCATCAGAGACAAAAAAGCAGAAACGGGGGGTTGTTGCACAAGGGGCTGCGGTATTTATAGGATGCAGTAGCCATGCTACCGCATACCTATGAACATTCACGGCTCCCCCCTTCATCCGGGATCGTCGCACTTGGTGTGATCATTGCTTGATGGTCGACATTCGAGTCGATAATTGCTGCAATTTCATCACGTGCGTTGGATGTTGGCGTGATGATTGCTCGACCATCTGACGCACCGACCCCGGTGTTGGGAAAAGTGTTTACCTCTGCCCTCCCTGCATGGCTTGTTACTCCGCCTAGGCGAAGTTTTAGCACGGAGTATGGAGTGGGAAGATCGTTGCACTTGTTGATGGACTGGGGGCCAGTAAACCATGATTCTAGTAGCTCCCGGCTTCTTCAAGACTACTTCCTGGGACTCGTCTCTTCGCTTCTATTGCCAACTCGGTCATTCAGCTAATGATGATAGATTTCACTTCATGAGTGGTCCGGTCGACCGTCGCGAATGACGATGGCCACCGTGTGCCTCACCGCATGGTGGGTGCAGGAGGGTGACTTACGCCTGAATTACTTTGTAATGATAGTGGACTTTCGAAGCATCTGCAACACTCTATCCTCCCCCACGAGACCTGATGATGAGACTGAGTCAGAAAGATCGGGCGAAGTGGCTAACAGATCTTAACAGCCCACATAGGCGTGCCACACACTACTAGCCCGCGCACGATGGGGGAGATTTTTCCCAGAGTGGCTCGGATCCCAGCTGAGTGGAAGTGCCATAAAGATCACATTCAGAAGGAACCATCGCAGCCTGATTCTCGGTTCTGAGAGGACCAAGTAAACCCTGTCAGTCGGCAGCCTCACAAGCCAGGACTTTAGCGCGCCGTGATAGTTACGGGGCGTGTTAGAATTGTTTACGGTGAGGAATGAGCTGGAGTGCCGTGGGACTGTATTCCGGAGAAAAGGCCTCATTTTCTCCCCCCTCTCCCCTGCAGCAGTCCATTGCCAAAACAGGTAGGCCACCCGATGTGGGGGCTGGGCGCAGGTGGCTGGCGCCGCGTGAGCCTGCGTCTGGGCGTGCCACCACAACCATCATGTGTGACATTTGTTATTGGGGGCGCGGACGCTGCCCAGCTTGGGTAACGCCTATCATGCTCTAATTTGGCTCCCATCTTGGCCTAGCGCCTCTTCTCGTAGCCCGTCGTGGGGGCAGAACCGTAAAAGCTTGTTCCGAATACTTTACCCGAAGCTCTCATATCACATGCCGAGAAAATTAGAAAGCTTAACAAAGAGTGGTTTGTAAATAGGGACAGAACTTAAAGTGTTTAGAAGAGCTTTAGTTGGACGCAGACGAATAAAACCTTATGCTTATTGTCAGGGATACATTTTGCCAATGCTGGGGGTCACCTGATTCATTTACGAAAGACTTGTTGGCCCCAATGGCGTACTACTACTACTACTACTACTACTACTACTACTACTACTACTACTACTACTACTACTACTACTACTTCTACTACTACTACTACTACTACTACTACTACTTCTACTACTACTATTACTACTACTACTACTACTACTACTACTACTACTACTACCACCACCACTACTACTACTACTACCACCACCACTACTACTATTACTGTGGCCACTGTCACCATTATCTGCAAGGCTGCTGCGAAAGCCGCGCAAGTGAATATGTTCAGGGACTCACATTTCCAGAAGGTGGGAAAAAGAAAGGGAGTAAGAAAACTTTTGAGCTTACTTCGTCATTGCATCGACAATTTTTCCGGTTTCCTCCAAGAGGATTTCAGTGCGTTTGCTTGGATTACGCGTATACAGATCGGAAAATAGTTCTGCGATCTCGGTAGGCCTAAGTTTCTTGCGTAACTGTTGAATTATCCGATTCATACGCAACTGTCGTTTGATTTCTCGCTTTCGGTTTCCACTCGCCATGTGCATAGTGCGTTTGTCGAACTCCAGAAGGTTACGAGCAGCCTGGAGGAGATTACTTTTTCGAGGACCAAATAACTGTGCAGCAGAGGATCTGCTTGTAGCTAGAGAATCATGAAGGGTCTCGGGGGAGCCCAGAGCATCCGTCTTCTCGAC